CGTGGCGGTGGCTGTGGTTGGCCACGGCACTGTGGCTGCTCCGCCCGCCTCGCCGGAGCTGGTGCGGAGGCTCTGCCGGGCCACCAGGAGCCTGTCCTCTTCAGGCGTGTGGCACGGACGTCGCCAAACTGACCGTCTTCAAAACACTGTGGGGTGGGCAGGCCTGGCTGCTGTGTCACCGTGAAAGGAGCCGTCTCTGTTCCCGACTGGTGACCACTGCCTCGGACACTGCAGCCATGTTTTCCATGGGTGGGAGGCTCAAGCCAAAGGGACCCGTCCCTCAACCGTCATAGCTAATACCACAGCATCCGTAACAGACTCCTGGAAAATTCCGGCGTGAAACCCCAGAGGAAGAAGCAGCAGCCGCCGCCCGTCGTAAGCCTGTGCCACGTGTAACTGAAACGTCACTGGGACCCGAGGGGCGTCCACCCCTCCCCAGCAAGCAGGACTGTCCCCGGTACTGGACACAACTGAGCCTGCACACCGGACATGGCCTGCGGCCACATGACATGCTTGGACTCCAGTGTCACATGCTCGTCCTGCAGCGTGGGACCGTGATGACCGGCTGCACCGTGTGTGACTCACCCGTCTAGGAGCGACGTGAGCAGGGGACACACGTCCTCAAACACTGCGGTCTGGGGCTCCGCCGGGCCGTAGACCCTGCGGGGAGAGGCAGAAGCCACATCGTCAGGGGGACGGGTCCGCTTTAGAGCCCGGCGCCAAAATCTGGGGACAGTCCTCCCACACTTCCCACACGGACCCCTAACACAGCCGAGAGTCGTCGTTTTCATCAATAAAATCTCATTAACCTCATTTCTCTGCAAGTCAGCAGAGGTTAAGGAAGAGCGAAGACTCGTTTCCTCTCATAAAAACGTAAGAAGCACAAGATGAACATTCACAAAGCGAAGCGGGGAGCGGGCGCCACACCAGCGGCACGTGACCGCGTTGGCGGCCACGCGGGACTCACACTGCGGGCAGCAGTCCACGTGGGACGTTTAATTTCACGTTGGAAACGTGGCTGCCCGACCCGGGCTAGCGGAGCGGACACTAGATCGCACAGCGGGACCGGAGCGCCGGGTACGAAAGGGGCCGGCCGGTCCTCACGGGCAGGCACGGCCGGGGGCAGCCACGTCCAGACAGCGCAGCTCGCTGCTCAGTCAAGCAAGCTGGGCGCCGGAGGGCAGAGGTGACCAGCGAGCCAGGCCGGTGGTGACCCGCACTCGACTCGAACGTGCTCCGGTTTCAAGCTCGCTTTCACGAAACACAGGCTGTTATCGGGCTGGACCCAAATCCTCCCCTTCCGTCTCAGAACGCGTCACGGTGCCCAGGTCACCCACATCCTCTCTGGAGGCCAATTTGGATCTGGGGGGCACTGCGCACAGGATGCTGCTCGCTGTGTACAATTAGGGGCTGTTTGGAGCAAGTGGGGTGATGCCGAGCTCTTAAGTATCTTTCTAACTTTTCACTCCCCCCCGGAAAAAAACGACGAAAGAAGAAGGAACAATGAATGGGACTGAGCTGGGACCGAGCTGCGCCCGTGCGGCTCCCGCGGGCCCTTGCTGACCTCACGCCCGCTTCATCCGGGAACATCCAGTGTCTCTGGACGGTGACGACTGCCAGACATCGCAACGGCATCACCATCGGGACACCTAAAGCCCGACGGCGATCCTCGGCACCGCCCCGCAAGGCGAAGCTCACGCCTCCTCAGTTCTCCAAGAAGGGGTTGCCCCTCGGCCTTCAAACGTCGATTCAGACGAGGCGTGTGCGTCTGTGCGTCTGCGCGCTGCAGCTGGGGGCGGCGCACCTTCTCAGAACGGCCATGGCTGAGGCCTCGTGCCCGTCTCCTTGATGAAGGAGCGTGCGGGGCACCCGGAGTCCTGCCGTGTGCTGCTTCCCAGCCGTCCACACGGCCGGGGCCGCGGCGGGACAGACAGACCAGCTGGTAACAAGAACCGCGAGGGACCACAGGGACGGCACAGGGCCACCCCCCCGGCCAAACCGACGTCGGCGCCAGGAGAAATACCGAGTCTACGAGAGGATTCTGGAGCCCCAGCGTATGGAAGTCACGGGCTAAGACCAGCAGTGTCCACACCCACAGCCACAGCCACGGTTCCACACGCACACACACGGTTCCACACCCACACACACCCCGTTCCACACACACACACACTCACACACACACCCACGGTCGAGGGAGACACGCTGCGTATGACAGAAAAAGGAACAGGCGACCCCGGGCGTGAGGGGACAAGCGCCGCCTCCGCCCTCTGTGAGGAAACCAGGAAACGCCCCAGAGACAGGACTGAGCGAAGACGGGCACCGCGCTCTTCAGGGCCTGGTTCCCGGGGAGCCCTGCGCGTTCCCGACGCCTCCTCCAGTGCGTGGCTTGTGTTTTCATTGTCCTAACAGCATCACACGTGGGCAAAAAGGCTTCGGTTTCGATAAAGCCCAGCTTGTTTTTACTCTTCCGTGGACCACGCTTTTGAGGGCATCTCGCGATTCTCTGCTTCGTGCGGGTCACAAACACTTTCTCCTGTTTTCCTGTGAACGTTTTACGGCGTTACGCTTTCTACTCCGCTCCACCTCGGTTCATTTTGACCAAAGCTGTGACGTGCAGAGCAAGGTTCACTTCCTGCGGCACGTGGCTGTCCAGGTGCTCAGTGCCATCCGCTGACCAGAGTTCCCTCTGCTCTTTGTGACTGGCCACAGGACGGGGCAGGCTGCACACTAGTGCGTGATCCGTGTCTGCACGACTTCGCTTTACGTGTCATTCTGGAAAGCACTCACCTTTCAAAGTTGAATGTCTTATTGATCGAAGGATGACCGGGCCGACTGCACTGCACCAGGACGGTCTCCTGACAGGAAGGAGCAGACAAGCGTTAGGACTCCGCTAGGGCTGCCTCCGCCCGCGACGGAGCCTGGCCGCACGGCCCGGGCCGGTCCCCTGTGCCCGCTCTGTGCAGTTCCGTGGAGCTCAGCCACGCTCAGTCCACGGACGTCTACACCTGTGCTTTACTCAACCACGCGGCTGAGTGACCAGACCCTCTGGCCCCTCGGAGTGGACGTTTGCCAGCCCGACACAGAGGAGAAAGCTGGACGCACAGGGCAACGCACACGGTCCTCCGCAGTCAGCCCAGGTCACGGCCGCCCAGGGCCCACGAAGCCCGAGACCCCCACGGCCAAGGGAAGCACAGCTCAGACGCTGCTGCAGCTGGACCGCGACCGGAGGGACCGGAAGGTGTGTCATCTTAACACGCCGGCGTGCGCCTCGGCCACACCGCTCTCCCCCGTGGCGCCGGCGCGGGGCGGCCACGGGCATCTGCAGTGAGAAACGCAGCACGCGCTTCGCGGCGCTCGAGTCAGGCAGGAACGCGTCCCACTGGCTCCCGCTCCAGAACAGGACCAGACTCATGGACAAACGGGCGCGGGGGGAATACGGACGACGGCCCAGCAGCTGCGGTGGACGGCACACAGACGCCTCCTCCCGGCGGCCGTCAGAGGCCGCCGCGGGAGGCCTCGCGCCTTCGCACGTGCGCGGACATCTGCGGACACGGACGCCAGCACGCGGCCGGCTCAGGCTCAGGCAGCCGACGGCTTTCGTTCTGAGGCTGTTTATTTGCCGCTAAGAGCCAGGTCATGGGCTCGGGCTCGGCCGGAGAGCAGTGCTGTGCCGTCCCACGCGGACGCCCTCAGGCCTCCCTGGCGGTAAACACCGAAGTCGCCGGAGAGGCGAAGCTTTGCCGTCGTCACGGCTGAGGGCAAATGCTGAGCGCGTGTCTACGGCAGCTTCTGGCGACCGTGGCAGCACGCTCGGCTGCCGGCTCCACGTGACTGTCCCCGGGCTGCCTGCCGCGGGGCTCCGCACCCCACCACCGCCCTGGTGCGAAGTGGCCCCCGACCGGCCCCCGGCCGGACCCCTGCCCTTCCAGTCTGCTCTAAAGAGTGTTTCCCGAATGCGAATTAGACGAGGGGTTAGACAGCCACAGAAACCAGAGAAACATTCACAAAGCTGTGAGTGATGGCAGATGTCACCATGGCCGAGAGGTCATGTAGGGACTTATTTCAAGCTCCAGACGGGACTCAGCAGACTAAGAGGTCACTTGCTTCCACAGTGAGGTTTCAGTGAGACGAGTGGGGGTGGAGACCAGGCCACAGTGACCGTGGCAATGAGAGGGAGCCCGGGCCGGGGGCGGGGCCTTCCGTCCCGTCACACCTGCCCTCAGCTGGCCATGAGGCCGCGCACGCCTGGGCCCCACACGGCTTTCCAGGGAGGCCTCATCCTCAGGGACAGTAAGTGAGAGTCTGTTTCTCTAGAAGGATGTCTGAGACCCTGTCGTGGTCGGAGCCGCTTCGAGGGACGTACACCCCACTATCGTAGCAGCCGCATCTTCCACGTGACAGCGGCGACGTCCTCGACGGCAGAAGGGGCTCAAACCCTTTCCACCCGCGGCCCCGGAGGAGGACGCAGG